AACAGACATTCCTGTTTCTTTTGCCAGTTCTGTCATCAGGGTTAATCTTGACAGGAAGTTTGGGGCTGGGCCACCCTTAATGACAAAGATTAACCTAGGCAGGGAGGCCAAAAACGGGAGAGAGGAGTAAGAGTTTGATCTCTTATCATTTTAGTAAATCTTGATCCTGAAGTTTTTTCCCTCAGGCCTGCTTTTTTCCAGCTTTCTTTGACAAGATTGGAGATGATCCCAGCTTTTTTCTCCTTTATGAAGTCACAGCATTGGGAAAAATCCTAACAGCCTAGATGGATACAGAAAAAGTGCTTTCAGAAACATCTGTATTTAACATTTGTATCTACTTCCATAGTGATACTACCTCGGAAACCCAAGGACGGGTCGCTATGAGTTGGGTCCAACTCGATGGCACATAACAACAACAACAACATTATTTGTGAAGTAGACCTGTTTTGTTTTATAGATTAGAAAGCTGAGGTTCAGGGCAATGTGAATGATTCAAATTATACCAAGTAAAAACTCTTTGGTATCATTAGCTGTTGCAGTCAGCCCCAACTCATGAAGATCCCATGAACAAAGGAATGACATACTGGTTCTGCGCTATCTCCACAAACAGCTGTGGATCAGACTGTTGGGATCCATAGGGTTTTCAACTCTAATGAGTGGGAAGCTGGAACTCAGAGCCAGGCATTCTGATCCCATAGCCAGTGTTCTTTGTCCTAAGCTTTAGATATTCTGGGTACATTTTGGGACCATGTTTTACTTATCTCTGTGTGAATTCCTGAGGAGAGTTCTGGTGATGTAGTGCTTAAGACATTTGACTGCTAATCAGAAGGCTGGTGGTTCAAATCCACCAGCACTACTCGGGAGGAAGGTTGGGCAATCTACTTCCGTAGCGATATCGCCTCAGAAACCCAAGAAGGGGGCACTATGAGTGGGCTCCAACTCGACGGCCATGAGTTTGATGTTTTTGTATTCCTGAGGCCTAGTCCCATGCCTGGGAGCTCTGGTAGTGTAGTGTCTAAGGCACTTGACTGCTAACCAGAAAGCTGGTGGTGCAAACCCATCAGCCACTCCTCGGAAGGAAGATGGGGCAATCTACTTCTGTAGTGATACTGCCTCAGAAACCCAAGGAGGGGTCGCTATGAGTCAGGTCTGACTCAACGGCACATAACAACAACAGTCCCATGCCTAAGGGACCCTGGTGATGCAGTGGTTAAACACTAGACTGTTAACCGAAAGGCTGGCAGTTCAAACTCACCAGCAGCTCTCTGGGAGGAAGATAAGATGGTCTGCTTCTGTAAAGATTATAGCCTTGGAAACCCTATGGAACAGTTCTGCTTCCTATAGGGCCGATATGAGTTTGAATGACTCAACAGCGTTTTTTTTTTTTTTAGTAACATGCCCAGTACCTACTGAGCATTCATTAAATGTGTATTGAATAGAAACTGATGGCTACTGTCCAAAACCATCTCTTCTGAAGAGAAAAATATGATGTCTGGAAATTTGAAATTTTGATGCTTTGCAAAGTTCAAGGAAGTCCATTTCGGCAAGCATGACAGCACACACTTGGGCATGCCCTATTTTCTCTTTCAGGTAGAAGCAGAAATCTAAAAATACCTGGCTTGAGTGTGAGCAGGTTTGAAGGACACTCCCTGACAAGTCCAGGATTCACTGAATGGAGGCATTGTTTCTGTGTGGGTGCACCACTGCTCATTTCCCTCTCTGCCCATCTTCTAATTTTACAGTCTCAGATGTCACTGAGGACAAAGGACTCTGTTTCAGGCCTTCATGGGGCTATGTGTTGGTAGGCTGTAGAGGCAGAGTATCACTCAGCCTCACGATAGCCCTTTCACTGTGTTGTATCTTATGATAAAATAATTTCCCACAAAGTCCTTTCTGGGGACTGCCAGATTTCTGATTTCCCTATTTTGTATGTCCACATGATGCAGGAAAGTCGCCCTGAATAAAGCTTGGAAAAGGCTGAAAGGATTATTAACCTAAAAAACAGTAAAAAACAAACTCACTGCCGTTGAGTCATGTATCTGACTCATAGCGACCCCTCCTTGGGTTTCCGAGGCAGTATCACAATGGAAGTAGACTGCCCAACCTTCCCTCCGAGGAGTGGCTGGTGGGTTTGAACCGCCAGACTTCTGGTTAGCAGTCAAGTGCCTTAGGCACTAACTATGCTACTAGAGCTCCTATGATTAACCTAGGGGGAAATATTTTAATAAAGAATTTCAGCTCCAGTAAAGTAAGCCAAGGTGATTAGGTCACACAAAGAGAGCCTAGAGAATGGCTACCATTGAAAAAATGATATATATGCTTTTTAATTTAAAAAAACCAGCAGAGTAAAAGAGAAAACCTGCATCATGCCCCTCCCCCCATCATCATTTTTTTAAAGGAAATGTTTTGGAAAAAAAGAAGATGATGTGACTCCTGGATTAATATTTTAAATTATTGCTTTCCTTTACCTTAAAGAGATAAAGTAAAGTGGACAATGTGACTAGTCTTTTCTCCTAAGATTAAAAGTGGCTTCAAAGAACAGGAAATTCAACAGCATTTAGAAAGCTTTCTTGTGTTACTCTTGGAGAATGGTTCAGCTCATTCAAGAGACTGCCTGCAAAGATTCATAAAATACCAGTTACACAATGTCATATTGTATATACATATTGTACAGTATAATGTATATACATATTAAATATACACTTTGTATAACTTTATAGCATTTAGTGATGGAAGCAAAGGGCAATTTCCAGATCTCCCCCCCTTTTTTAACATATTATTTAAAAAAATCTTCTACCACATAACTTCCCATTTCCTCTTTCATATCACTTACCCTCTCTCTTCTGTTCCTTTTCTCCCTACGCCCCATTGCTTTAAAAAAAAAAAAAAAAAAGTCCCCACTCTCCTTCATGTTTTTGATCACAAACTCTCTTTTCTTTCAGGGAACATGCTTTCCTCCTCCAGCTGCTTTCTGTCTCTCTGTGGACTCTGTCCAATGAGTCTCATTATACTTTGTACAATGAGCTATCATCTATGTAATTTTAATCCTAGCTCTGTTTTCGAAATTTGTTTCATGTACCCATTTAGTTCATCAGCATAGATCTCCAGCAAGGTTATGTCAGGTAAGAGTAGTAGTTTTAATTGTTTCAAAGATCAACAACAAACAAATGTGGAATAAAAAGTGATGGTCTTATTTTATTTATTTTACAAAACTCTGAGCAAAGCCAGACCACACTGAAATAAGAGTCATAGTTCTTTGAGCTTCCCTCCCTCACCTGGTCCATACTCCAGACGCCTGTGTCCAGTAGAGCGAATATGCACGGGATCTATTTCTAAAATTCCTTGACTGCTTTGGGAAGAAGAGAAAGCTCTGCTAAAGCTGTAGTAGGTGCCTTCCTATCTTTTACAAACAACAAAACAGTTCACAGAAAATTTAAGAAAGACCAGGAAAAAGAAATCCGTTTCCAGGGATGATTAGATATGTTATTTACTGTTTTTAAAATATAGGGCACGACGGGGAAGAGGAGCAAAGAGAAAGTAGGGAAAAGTACTATAAGAGGTGCCAGAGAGGCCTCCCTCTACATCTCCCAAAATTCTCCGTGTGAACGTTTCTCCAGCCTAAAGCACATGGTTAGTTCTTTATGCCCCGCCTCGGGGGAGGTTTCGCCTCTTAATAACAATGCAAATTATAATTAACAATAAATGATTATTTATGGATGACCAACGACCAAAAGCCTCCAGGAGTCTTCATTAAAACAACAGCACAGTTACAACCTCTGGAGGTATGCTATTATAATTATCAAATGTTTATGTACCCTCATTAACGTAATTAAAATTTTTTTTTAAAGTTCCTGCTTTAAACATTTTTGTATTACTATGGGAAGTTTTAAGTTGCACGAAGTAGAAATTATAATATAGCAAACCCTCGTGTACTCACCACTCAGCTTCAACAATTCTCAGTATTTTGGTAATCTTGTTTCATGTATCTTTCCCATTCCCACGCCCACCCCTCACCTTGCCCGAAGAAATTTTAAAGTGAATACCCAAAATATAATGGCAATTTACTGGTAAATATTTCAGTATACGCCCCCCAAAATTTAATAACGACTGGTTATCCCAAAAGGGACCCGCAGGACAAATGAACTCTCTCCGTGTGGAAGGGTTGTCACCAAGGTTATCTGGCTGTTCGGGGTCGATGGCGCTAAGAACATAGCGTAACATTCCCCTGGGAAAAACAGGTAAGCGGGTGACGCAAACCCCCCCAGGTAGAGGTAAATGAATTCCTCCAACTCTGTCCACCGAGGCATGATCAATCTAGACCCCAGAGTTGCTAAGGCCGCTAGGAAGATAAAGATGCCGGATACTGCGAAAGCCAGTCAGAAGGCTCAAAGAGTAATCAGTTGGCCAATCAAGATTCGAAAGTGAATCAAAACCTCAGCATTCGGCTCGCTCCACCCGCATCCAATCAGAGACCCGGCTACTTTGGGCGGACTTTTCAAACCTGCGACTACAAAACAAATCGGGGCCCTTTAAAAGGTGCAATTCGGTTCAAAAATCTGTCTGCTTCCGCCTCTCAACACTAGTTCTCCATTTCCTTCCTACTGTCCAGATCAATCCCAGCATCAATATAACGCTCAGATGTCACTCTCCGCCCAGAAACCGAGAGGGAACTAGTTCGGTAAAGCAAGGGAGCACTGAGGAGGCCATAAAACAGCTAGAGTCACTGGTTTAGGGGAGGGACTCTTTTTCAAAGTCCCTTGAGAAAGCGCAGGATTCTTCCGCGGGAGTCACGTGCCCCGCCCCCTTGGAGGCGTCAAAAACTCAAAACAAAAACAAGGGGTTTGGTGCCTCCTCCTCTGTGGCGGCGGCGGCGGCAGTAGCGGCACAGCTGCTGGTGGGGCAGCAGATTTTGAGGGGCCGGTGCTGCACCCAGGAGGAGGGTTGAAGCGCGGGCAGAGGGATGAAGCCCAGGCTGTGAGGCCGAGACGGCAAAGGGGAAGAAGGGTCGGATGCCGGTCCAGGGGCACCGCTGAGGCAGAGAGGCCCGGACCTCGGAGGCAGGCCCGCGACACCCCCGCGGCGCCCAGTCCCTCCGGGCCGCAACGCCGCGGGCCGGCGGAGGCACGTCTCCGGCACGGTGAGTGGGCCCACCCGAGATCGCTGGGTTTCTTTGTTCGTAGTTAGAGCTGGTGATGGGGGTGGATGATCTAGTGCCCCATTGCTGCCCATCTCTTCATCCCTGGGAGCGACCCCCGTCTTGCCATCTGCTCCAGCCCCAAGAGAGTTGCGGCCCGACGGCGGAGAGATGAGGGTAGGACGGATGGTGGGTCAGGAGGCTGAAGACAGTTCTCCGCTTCGATGCTCCCCGCGCTCCCCCCCACACACACACACCGCATTTTGTCTGGGGGATTTGCTGGGGGTGGTGCGTTTTTTGTTGGCTGCCCCAGGGTTCCGCAAAGCTGCGGAACCGGGGCGTTTGTGGGTAGACAGACGACTTGTCAGGCCCAGAGCGGGCTGGACTTCTCCCGCAGCCCGGCTGGCGGGCCTCGCCACCCTATCGCGTTCTCGGGCAGGAATTTCTGCCACCCGAGTTTGTCCAGAGTAGGCTCTGCGGAAGCGGATGGAGAAGGTTGGGGCTCGAATGCTGGGAGTGGGGCGTCTGGGGCTGGGTCTCCGCTAGGGGCGTGGCACTGGAGTCTCCTCCTTCCGGTTCTTTGTTTGGTCGCCAGACTTTCTTTACCCTGGTCCCTATTGTGTAACGTCCCCACAGCCAGAACCCGCTGCAGTTGCTGGCCCCCGTGCAGCCCGCGGGCCAGGAGTCCCTTCTTCCTTGGCTTCAGGTGGGCCCAGACAGTCTGGTCACCGCCGCCCAGTTTCCTGCTGTGCTGCGCCCGAGGCTGAGGCTGAGAGCCTGACCCAGCTCTGGGGACGGTCGTGATTGCCGCCCCTCCCCCTGCCACACCTCCCTGGCGCTGCGGGAGATTTGCCCTGGGCTTCGGGCGGACGTGACGGCCCCCTCATCTGCTCCTCTCCGGGTGTGCAGTGACGTCCTCTCTGGGGGTATTGGGGCAAACTCTTCTGCCGTTCACCATCTCTCTCCCCAGGATATACTCTAAATGTGTGTGGTGTCTTTGCTGCAGATGAAGGATTTGGGGACCGAGGACTTGGCTGGTCGTGAAGGGGTTCAGCTCTTTGGATTGTTGAACCTCTACCTGGAACAGGAACAGAGATTCCAACCTCGAGAAAAAGGGCTAAGCTTGATGGAGGCCACCCCAGAGGTAAGTTCCCGGGAAAGCTAAGTTTCTCAAGCAGCTAATAAGGTTTGTAAGGGTACCTATTTTTCCCCAATTGAATTAAGACCTAAGCTGAAAAGTTTCTTAAGACCAAAACTGGTCTTCCTGAAATACTAAGATAAACCTTAATACAGGATCATGCTTTCTTGTTTCTTAGCTAGAATGAGAGTGATACTAATTCTGGAGAAGTACATCTTCAAAAGTGCCACCCTTAAACCTGCAGTTTCTGAAAGGGAGACTCCCTGGGAGTTATACATGTTTGCGGAAATACCCTGTGGCTATGAAATACTTTTTAGTAGGATCTTAAGTCATTTAAAAAAACAAAACAAAGAACCCATTACCTCCATTGCCAGGGAATTGAATTATGTTTATTTTCTGTAACCCTCTGAAGTGTGCTAACAGTTCACTGTATATTGAGGCTCTAAAACTCTGTAATGATGAGTGTTTTTAAAAAGTAATAATGTCTGTACATCTCATTATACCTAAGACATTTGATTACTAACTATAAGGTTGGTGTTGAAACCCACCAGCTGCTCCTAGGAAGGAAGATGGGGCACTCTACTTCCATAAAGATGTAACTCCAGTGGGGGTTGCTATGAGTTGGAATTGACTCTGGCAGCGAGTTTGTTTGTTTTGGTTCATATCAAAGTGTGTAACTTTGGTTAAATGATACTACTTCCCCACCCTATCCCCAGATTATTGAAAATTAAGAGGAAAAAAATACTTCATTTGAATCTGTTTAGTCTTAACTGTGGCTGCAACAATGGGCTCAAATGTAACTACTGTTGTGAAGATGGCACAGGATTGGGCAACATTTCTATGAAGCCACTCATCTGCACCTAACAACATTAACCTATCTAAACTGCCTTGGAAACCCAAGGAGGGGGGTCGCTATGAGTCGGGGCCGACTCGACGGCACATAACAACAACAACAACAACAACAAGAAAATCATAAACTTCAGCTCTTGGTTTTTATTGCAGAATGATAACACTTTGTGTCCAAGATTGAGAAATGCCAAAGTAGAAGATTTAAGGAGTTTAACCAACTTTTTTGGATCTTGCACTGAAACTTTTGTATTGGCTGTCAATATTTTGGACAGATTTTTGGCTCTTATGAAGGTATTTGATCATTTTTATAAATATATCTTCATTGTTTCTATACAATACCTGGCACACAAGGGTTCAGTAAATACTTGTGGAATGGATATAATAATGTGCATTATACATAAACATTTTTAATAACTGAGATGTTTAGTACTAGATTAAAAGACTGCAAAATTTAAGTGTATTGTGTTTTAAGTTAGGTTTTGCTGTGTACCCTTCTCTTTCTCTTTGAAGATACAGCAAAATGAAGACTAATGTGTTTTAAGATATATATTAAAATAAGGTTTTCATCTCTCATCATGCTTCTATTGAAGCCCAGGTATTTTTAATACTGAAACATGCTAAGGGGAAGTATAACAGTATGCTAAAGGTAACCCCCTGACTTTCCCAAGAAAAGTCTGTCAAAGCAGGGAACCACAGCAACTGTTGGAAAATGTGGTGATTTTTCTGCCAGTAGAATTGCTTTCAGCTGCTGGGTCAGTTTTTAGGGCACTGAAAAGAAAAGGGCAGCCATCTGTCTGTGGCAGCTTTTGCATATGTCCCACTCCACCTAACTGATAAGAGTATTTCTCTTGGCAAATCTGTATTGAAGCATGGGATGATTCCTGAAAGATTTTCTGCCTAAAAAGATGGGAGAAAGTTTCTGTAGCCAGAGAGGTAGTATGATTTCTTAGTGTTAAAAAGCTTAATTAATTTGGAAGGAGATTTTACCGTTACCGATTTCATAATCTGAAATACAAAGTATAACTCAGTGTTTGAAATTTAGCTTTTGAACCTGCATTGACTTTTTTCCTACTTTAATTTAAAATTTAAATTCAATTATTTAAATGCTCAAAACACCCCCCACACACACTTTCTTAAAAGAGCCTTTAAGAAGGGATTGTGGGGCTGGCGCGGGATCGGGCTATATTTCGTTCTGCTGTGCATGGGGTCACTATGAGTCGGAAACAGCTCGACGGCACTTAACAACAACAACAACAAAAATGTAAAAATAACTAAGTGGAACTATGGGTTAAACCAAGTACTTATATGGGAAACAGACTGTGTTCTGTTTTAAAAGAAGGGTGTCACTATAATATTCTTTTAAATACTTGCTTTATTCAATCAACAATTGTTAGAAAAGAATCCTTTTTGTTTTTCAGGTGAAACCTAAACATTTGTCTTGTATTGGAGTATGTTGTTTTTTACTGGCTGCTAGAATAGTTGAAGAAGAATGCAATATTCCATCTACTCATGATGTAATCCGAATTAGTCAGTGTAAATGTACTGCCTCTGACATAAAACGGATGGAAAAAATAATTTCAGAAAAATTGCACTATGAATTGGAAGCTACTACTGCCTTAAACTTTTTGCACTTATACCATACTATTGTACTTTGTCATACTTCAGAAAGGTCAGTGAAATTAAAAATAAAGTTTTGTACTTTGAGCCATTGCTAATAGTAAAGAGTTAGAATACCAATTAAATTTATGTTTCTACTTAATCTGAGGTTTCAATTTTGGGTTTTATTGTCAAGTCCTTAAAATCTTTGCTTGTTTAATAAGTATTTTATCCTTTTTTTGCATTGTGTAGAAAAGAAATACTGAACCTTGATAAGCTAGAAGCTCAGCTGAAAGCTTGTAACTGCCGACTTGTATTTTCAAAAGCAAAAGTAAGTCAATTTTTTGCTTACATATCTGTCTCTCACAGTTTTTATTTTGCATTTTCAGAAAATAATTTTTCTCTTTTCATCCTTTGTCTTTTGTAGCCATCTGTATTAGCTTTGTGCCTTCTCAATCTGGAAGTAGAAACTTTGAAGTCCATTGAATTATTGGAAATACTCCTGCTTGTTAAAAAACATTCCAAGGTACATATCTTCAGTCCTTATTCTTTAAAAGAAGTTCCTTCCTAATGTTGTTTTTTTTTTTGTGTTTGTGTGTGGTGACTTAAGCATTAAGTAATACTTTATGAGGCATTTGTTTAACATTTATGCTTTTTTGTCTTATATCTCAGCCGTTGAAGTTCTTTCTTGAAATGCTTTGACCCATATAGATGAAGCTGCGAGGGAATTTGGTCACTTAGTCCAGTTTCTTTCAGCATGCAGGCATTCCTTCTGTAGTATTGTTACCACATGGTAATACAGCTGGGTACTTTGACACTATGTGTTGTTCTACAGTGCATAATAGAAATTGTTGTTGTTGTTGTTGTTATGTGCTGTCGAGTCGGCCCCGACTCATAGCGACCCCTTCTATACTTTGTAAATACACGAATGACATAGGATGGCATCCCATCATATCTGTAAGACTAAAACATTGTCCCATCATTAATTATCATGGTTTTCATATAATGTTGTTGTTGTTATGTGCCCTCGAGTTGGACCCGACTCATAGTGATCCCTCCTTGGGTTTTCGAGGTAGTATCACTATGGAAGTAGATTGACCTGTCTTCCTTCCGAGGAGTGGCTGGTGGGTTTGAACTGCCAGCCTTCTTGTTAGCAGTCAAGTGCCTTAGGCACTATGCTATAAGAGCTCCCATAATATCAGCAATGCTTCTCTTTTTAAACCCTGTAGGCAGGCCAGTCCAATATGTTTCTGGAGTCATAAAGAGATGTAACACAAACAAAAGCACTGTGCCTTTTCTTAATCTAATAGCCTAGTTGGTACTTCACATGAGCTGGTGTGTTATTTCATTTATTATTATGTCCCAGTGCCGGATCATCAGTGAATATAGATATGTTGAGATTTTGTTAGAGAAGTGGAGCAGACCAGGAGATGCTATGATTGGTCTAGTTGGATCAAGAGAATCTTAGTGAAAGTTTGGGCAGCGAAGGCTTATAGCCAATAAATTGTATAGACCTCAAGGAAAGTCATTTTTTGGTGGGCTTTTAGATAAGATAACTAAGAGATAGTCATAAGTGGAAATAAGAATGTCCAACTCAAGTAGTGGTTTTGGAAGCTAAGCATGGAAGAGAGTTAAGGAATCACGAACAACCAAGATTTGGGCCTAATGATGGAGAGAATATTGACACGATTGACAAGAAATTTGGGAGGAGTTAATGTGATTTTATACCTGCCAGGTCAGTGAGTAGGTGTCTAGCAGGCATTTGGCAAGAATAGAAACTCAGGATAAACCATAATTGGAGATTGAGATTTGGAATTTTTCATGAAGAAGTAATAGTTGCAACTTTAAGAAATATGGAGGCAGTTCATTATTTTAGGAGTCACTGGAAGCTGGTCTCTCAATGTTGCCTTTCCCCTATTTAGGATCCAAGTGAAGGGAAGTATATCTAGACTATTTATTTATTTATTATTACTATTTTATTGTGCTATGTGTGAAAATTTACAGAGCAAGTTCATTTTCTATATAGCAGTTCATATACATTTCTCTCATGACATTAACTGCAGTTCCTCACAATGTTTAATACCTCTCTTCCCACTTGTTCCCCATAGTTACCTGTTTCCTGTGTCCTTCCCTCCCATGCACCCCCACCCCCTGAGCTGTGTCCCTGTGCAAACACTACCCTTTGGTTCTTCCATGATCAATCATCCCAGGTAGCATATCTACCTGATGTAAATGTTCAGCCCATATACCTGTTACTTGGCTGGAAGCCACAGGAGTGAGTTCAGTTCTAGACCTGAAGGGTAGCTAGGGGCCATAGTCTCAGAGGTTTCACCAGGCTGTTATCAGACCAGCAAACTTGGTCTTTTATTATGATTTTGAGTTTTGTTCCACATTATTCTCCCACTGTATCCAGGATCTTCTGCACCAGTCCCCCTCCAAGTGGTTGACAGTAGTAGCCGGGCACCATCTAGTTCTTCTGTTCTCATGGTCATATAGGCTGAGGAGCACATGTTCTACCAGTCCCTTGGATTGTTTCCATACATCTTTGGTCTTCATCATTCTTCTTTGCTCTGGACAAGGAAGGACCCATTGTTGCATCTAGATGGCCACTTGAAAGCTTTTATGACCCTAGTCGCTACTCACCAAAGTAGGATGTAGAACAATGTTTTTGTGTAGTATGTTATGCCAATTGAGTTTGATGTCCTCTTTGACCATGGTCTCGAGCCCACATGTCCAACCACTCAGTCCCTCTGGGTAGCTGGCTCTGGCCAAAAAGTGACTACAACTTTGTCCCTTGTCAACTCTACTATACACCTGAACATTCTTAGAGCATATACAAATACACTTGTAGAAACATCATTTGCCAACCCTATACATGGTCATAGGAGCTTGGATAGCATAGAGCCTAAGGCACTTGACTACTAACCAGAAGGCTGGCGGATCAAACCCACCAGCCACTCCTCGGAAGGAAGGTTGGGCAATCCTACTTCTGTAGTGATACTGCCTTGGAAACCCAAGGAGGGGTTGCTATGAGTTGGGGCCGACCTGATGGCACATAACAACAACAACATACATGGTCATGGGCCCCCTACCCCCTGCCTAGACATACCTAATCATTCAGCCTATCCACCCATAGATCAGTGCTTGCCATCACTGACAATGCAAAATGCAATGCATCACTGATATGTAAAATAGACAAGTAATTTAGACTTTCAGTGTAGACCAGAAATGTAGACTTGTTGAATTAGAAAGAGATTTTCAAGATGGATGTTGTCAAGAGTATTGAAATTTGATGTAAGATCTACAGAGTTTAAGAAAGTCATTGGATAGGTACTTCCAAGGGTTAATTCTGTAGAGTAGGACAAGGAAGTGGAAGAAGCCAGATTGTAGGAAACAGGATATGATGGAAATCAAGGCCAATATTACAGGAGCTCTGGTAGCATAGTGGCTAAAGCACTTGACTGCTAATCAGAAGGCTGGCGGTTCAAACCCACCAGCCACTCCTCGGAA